AAAGAACACTAATTAGTAACATGAAAATATGTCAAAATATAAAATGTACTGATAGGGCTAAGTAGAGTCAAATTCAGAATACTCTAATATTGTAACATGGTGGTGTGGGGCCAGCCTCATGGCTGAGTGGTTAAGTTTGCATGGTCCGCTTCAGCGGCCCAGGGCTTCACAGGTTTGGATCATGGGCATGAACATGGCACTACTCATTAGGCCATGCTGAGCAGTGTCCCACATAGCACAACCAGAGGCATTCGCAACTAGAATATACAACTATGTACTGGCGGGTAGGGGGGGAGGTTTGGGAAGAAGAAGGCAAAGAAAAAAATGAAGATTGGCAACAGGTGTTAGCTCAGGTACCAATCTTTAGGAAAAAAAATATGGTGGTGTATTAATCACTGAACTCTAGTATAAAGGTTAAAAGACAAGATTATTAAAAATAACTATAGCTATAATTTGTTAATGAATATACAATATAAAAAGAGGTAAATTGTGACATCAGAAACCAAAAAGGGGGGATATGGTAAAAGGGTAGAGTTTTTGTATGTGATCAAAGTTAAGTTGTTAGTGTAAAATAGACTGTTATATCTGCAAGACGTTTTGTGTAAGAATCATGGTAACCACAAAGCAAAAACTTACAGTAGATTCACAAAAGATAGAGAAAAGAGAATCAAAGCATACCGCTACAGAAAATCATTAATTAACAAAGGAAGGCAACAAGAGAGAGAGAAAGGTAAAAGGCAAGCACAAAACAGTGAGAAAAAAATTAACAATATGGTGTTAGTAAGTCCTTACCTATCAATAATTACTCTAAGTAATTCTCAAAATTCTCCAAACAAAGGACATAGAGTGGCTGGCTGGATATTAAAAAAACCAAAAAAAAACAAGAATCAACTTTATGCTGCCTACAAGAATCTCACTTTAGTTTAGAGGACATACGCGGGCTAAAAGTGAATAGACGGACAAAGATATTCAAGTAAATGGAAACCAAAAGAGAATAGGGGTAACAATATTTATAGCAAATAAAATAGACTTTAAGACAAAAACTGTAACAAGAGACAAAAAGGTTATTATATAACGCCAAAGGGATCAATTCATCAAGAAGATATAATAATCATAAATATATATGCACCAAACATTGGAACATCTAAATATATTAAGCAAATGCAGATCTGAAGGGAGAAATAGACAACAATACAGTAATAGAAGAGGACTTCAATACCTCACTTTCGACAATGGATAAATCATGTAGACTATTATGAACATTTGTATGCTAACAAATTGAAAACCTAGAAAAAATGGATAACTTCCTAGAAAATATACACCAACCAAGACTGAATCATGAAGAAATACAAAATATGAATAGATCAATAACGATTAAGGAGATTGAAGCAGTAATCAAAAATCTCCCAACAAACAAAACCCCAGGAACAGATGACTTCACTGGTGAATTCCACCAAACTTTAAAAAAAAAAAAAAACATTAGTGCTAATCTTTCTTAAACTCTTCGAAACAATTAAGAGGAGGAAACACTCCCAAACTCATTTTACCAGGCCAGCATTACTCTGATACAAAAGCCAGATAAAGACACTACAAGCAAACTACAGGCCAAAATCCCTGGTGAATATAGGTGCAAAATCTGTCCCCAAAATATTAGCAAACAAAATTCAACAGCACATTAAAAAAAGTCACACACCATGATAAAGTAGCATTTATTCCTGGAATGCAAGGATGCTTCAATCTATGCAAATCAATACATATGATACACTTCATTAATAGAATTAAAACAAAAATCATATAATCATCTGAATAGATGCAGAAATGTATTTGACAAAATACAACATTATTTTACGATAAAGACTTTCAAAAATTTAGGTATAGAAGAAATGTATCTCAACATAATAAAGACTGTATATGACAAGCCCACAACTAATATCCTACTCAACAGTGAATAGTCATAAGCTTTTCCTCTAAGATCAGGATGGAGACAAGGGTGCCACTCTCACCAGTCCTACTCAACATAGTACCAGAAGTCCTAGCTAGAGCGATTAGATAAGAAAAATAAATGCAAGGCAAATCCAAATCAGAAAGGAAAAAGTAAAACTATCTTTGTTTTCAGATAATATGATCTTATATATAGAAAACCTAAAGACTCCACTAAAAAACTGTTAGAACTAATAAACAAATTCAGTAAAGTTGCAGGATACAAAACCGACATATAGAAATCAGTTGTGTTTCTTCACACTAACAATGAAATATCTGAAAAAGAAATGCAGAAAACAATCCCTTCACGATAGCATCAAAAACAACAAAATACTTAAGAATAAGTTTAACCAAGGAGGTGAAAGATCTGTACAATAAAAACTCTAAGACGTAAATGAAAGAAATTGAAGATGACACAAATAGATGGAAAGATATCCCATGTTCATAGATTGGAAGAATTAATATTGTTAAAATGTCTGTAATATCCAAAGCCATTCATAGATTCAATGCAATCCCTATCAAAATTCCAATGGTAGTTTTCACAGAAATAGAACAAACAATTCTAAAATGTGTACAGAACCACAAAAGACCCTGAATAGCCAAAGCAATCCTGAGAAAGAAGAAGAAAGCTGGAGGCACCACACTTTCCAATTTCAACCTACATTACAAAGCTATAGCAATCAAAACAGTATGGTGCTAGCATAAAAACAAACATACACCAATGGAACAGAACTGAGGGCCCACACATATACAGTCAACTAAAATTTGACAAAGGAGCCAAGACTACTCAATGGGGAATGGATAGTCTCTTCAGTAAATGGTGCTGGGAAAACTGGATAATCATATGCAGAAGAACAAAATTGAACTCCTATCTTATAATAGAAACAAAAATGAACTCAAAATGGATTAAAGACTTAAATATAAGACTTGAAACCATAAAACTCCTAGAAGAAAACAGAGGGGGAATGCTTCTTGATATTGAGCTTAGAAATAATTTTTTGATATAACACCAAAGCACAAGCACACAAGCAAAACAAATAAGTGAGACTACATCAAACTAAAAATCTTCTGCACAGCCAAAGAAAGAATCAACAAAATGGAAAGGCAACCTATGCAATGGGAAAAGATATTTGCAAACCATATATCTGATAAGGGGTTAATATAAAAATAAACAAGGAACTCATACAACTCAATAGCAAAAAAACAACACAAACAATCTATTTAAAAAATGGGCAGAAGAACTAACAGACATTTTTCCAAAGAAGACATACAAATGGCCAACAAGTACATTGAAAAGACGCTCAACATCACTAATCATCAGGGAAATGCAAATCAAAACTACAACGAGACATCACTTCACACCTGTTAGAACGGCAATTATCAAAAAGACAAGAGATAACAAGTGCTGGCAAGGATGTGGAGAAAAGGGAACCCATGTGCACTGTTGGTGGGAATGTAAATTGGTACAGCCGTTATGGAAAACAGTATGGAAGTTTCTCAAAAAATTAAAAATATGACTGTAATATGATCCAGCAAGCCCACTGCTGGATATGTACCTGAAGAAAATGAAATCAAAATCTTGAAGAGATATCTGTACTCTCATGTTCACTGTAGCATTATTCATAACAGCCAAGATATGGAAAAACCTAAGTGTTCATCTATGGGTGAATGAATATGGAAGGTGTGGTATACATACAATGAAATATTATTCAGCCATGAGAAAAAAGAAAATCCTATATCCCAAAATATGGATGGACCTTGAGGGCATTATGGTAAGTGAAGTCAAACGAGGAAAGACAAATACCGCCCGTTCTCACTGACATGTAGAATCTAAAAAAGCTGAACTCATAGGAACAGAGTAGAACGGTGGTTGCCAGAGGCTGGAGGTGGAAGAAGTGGGAAGATGCTGGTCAAAGGGTACAAACTTCCAGTGATAAGATAAATAAGTTTTGGGGATCTAATGTGCAATGTGGTGATTATAGTTAACAGTACTGTATTATATACTTGAAAATTGCTAAGAAAGTAGATCTTAAACATTCCCACCACAAGAAAAGAAATGTAGGGGCTGGCCCTGTTGGCATGGCGGTTAAATTCATGCATTCCACTGCAGCAGCCCGGGTTCACAGGTTTGGATCCCCAGTACTGCTCATCAAGCTGTGCTGTGGTGGCATCCCACATACAAAATAGAGGAAGATTATCACAGATGTTAGCTCAGCAACAATCTTCCTCAAGCAAAAAGAAGAAGACTGGCAACAGATGTTAGCTCAGTGCCAATCTTCCTCACCAAAAAAAAAAAAAAAGAAAGAAAAGACAAGACAAGAAATGTAATTATCGTAATGGAGCTGTTAACTAACACTACTATGGTAATCATTTTGCAATGTATAAGTGTATCAAATCAACACATTATATACCTTAAATTTACACAATGTTATAGGTCAATTATATCTCAGTAAATCTGGGAAGAAAAAAAAAACAAATAAGCTAGCATTTCAGATATATCTTTCTTCTCATTATGTGTATATTTATAGAAATATATACACACTTGGAAATAAAATGTAACAATTTATAAGTAACTATTTTTTCCACTTAACAACATAATGAACATTTTATCCTATCTTATTCTACAACGTGATTTTTAACAGCTACGTTAATATTCCACATTGTAGATGCACTATAATTTATTTACTCAATGCTATATTATTGAAAATTGCATTTTGTTCTTATACATTGTTGCAATAACACTCATGTATATGACTGGTTATTTTCTTCAGATATTTATCCTAAATATCCAAGAAGTAAAATTGCCGATTCACAGGACGTGAATACTTTAAAGTTTTTTATTGCACATTCTTACCCATTCTTCAGGACCCACATCACACACCACGGCCTCTGTCATGTCTTTCCTGAGGACTCCCCACCCCTACCCCAGAGGCAGAGGAAGCATCATTTTCTACTCTCTTTTACTGTGAATTTTGTAGCTGCCTCTATACACTATGCATACAATACAGTGTCATACCATTACCTGTCTCCTCTGCCAGAATGTGAGCTCCTTTAATAAGTAACACCCATGTCCGATCCTCCTCTGCATCTCTAGTACTATATCAGAAATGACAAGAGCATTTAATAAACACTTCTTGGAAGAAGGAGTGAATGAACGCATGAACAAATAAAATAATAAATGAAAGAATAAACAAAGAACACTATTGGCCTTTTCCATCATTGAATTTAGCTTTTCCATTATCACTACATGGAAAGTTCTTGTCTCGCATTTTGTGAAGGAAGAGACAATAATTTTCCTCTCCTTTCCACAAATTGCCCCAATTCGCCTGCTCGCCTAGCCTGCTGAGTGACAGAGCTTTTCATCTCAAAGCCCTTTTCAATGCATAGGAATAGACTCCGTCAAAAATCCCTGTCGTGCAGGCTCTGGGCAGACACAGCCCAGTAAATAGAGATGGTGACCTCTGGCATTATTATATTATAGAATTTTCTCTGACCACCATGGTCATCTTTAGGAAAAAAGTAGTAAGACTGCCTTGTACTAGTCATAACCTTTTATTCACTGTCCTCAATTGTAAAAGAAAACTTTGCAAATATGATATGAAATTTAATTATTCTTTGAGAAAGAATGCATCCCACTTCAGTAAACACATATTGAGTGCCCACTTTTTCATACATTATCTTATATGATAATTTAATCCAAATCGAAAAAATCAAACCAAGAAGAAATTACTGTTCCCAATTGGAAGGCAAGAAATAAAAGGACAACAGTTATTCAGGGCCCATCCCCACCCCCAGCACACAGAGAGATTCTTCTCCTTATCATGCCAGAAGCTGTAGAAAAACAGAAACATTGGTTTTGTTCCCTGAGATCAAAAGACAAATATATTCCTCTCTGTGATCTCCTCTGTCTGACAGAGGCGTCCCTGCCTCACCTTGAGATAAGGAGAGGGATGATATGGTTGGCCTCTTAATCTCTCTTCGTTTTTCTGCATCACTAGCAGATTTCCTGCCATACTCCTGTCTCTTTCTATGTGTACTGAACATGCATTAGCATCAGAATCACATCAGGAAACTTGCTGTGCTCAGCAGAAGCACAAAATCAGCCCCTATGCTAAGTGGTCGCCATGGATTTCCACTTCTGTGTTGTCAAATTTCCAGCTAGCTGCAGTTTTGGACAGCCCATTGCCAACCCTGGGGGCAGAGAGGGCAGAAGTGTGAGAGCAGGAGAGGAAAGGCAATCAGGAAAGTTCCTCAGGGCTCAGGAAGGGCGAGCTCCTCCCCCACCCCTCCGGGCTATAGAGGCAATGTCAAACATTGGAGCATCTGACAGATTTTCCATTTTCAAGGATGACTAGAGCAAATGTACTCTTGGAGTAGATTTCTATGCTTGGAGAAATGTCTACCCTCTTTTAAGCACCTCCATTCTTCATGTGGGGAAAACACTAATAATCATGCTACTTGAATTTCTTTTATATTTAGCAAAAACTGAATGTTGGTCCTAACCTTAAGATTCCAGAATACAGCTACTGCAAACAGATATTTTTGGTGGGATAAGGAGAAAGGGACCAGAAGAACAGGATCAGGCATTCTTTGGAATCTGCTTTGAGTCAGTGAAGGAAATTCTTGGCAGAGCATATTTCACCATAGTGAACCTGCCGGAAAGCATCTTTGGTTGTTTTGCAAGGCCCATGTGCAACCTGGTTATTCTGTTCAGAACTACCTGTAGACAACAATTTTCAGTCTCTGCTTCAGCTAATAAGTTAGAACTTCTGGAATTTATATGTGATTTATTCCATGTCCAGTGTTTCTTCTGTAAACATCTTTGCTGCAAATATTTTTGCCACATGATTAATTGGCTCTAAGGCAAATTTTGCCATAAAAGATAAAAAAATAACTGGTTGACAGTTTGTTTGGGGGTTTTTTGCTTGTTTGTTTCATTTCTCCATTGATGAATCAACTGCCATAAAGGATAAAAAAATAACTGGTTGACAGAACTTTGCTACTCAAGGTGCTACCCACAGGTCAGCAGCATCTTGTGGATGGGGAAGCGGCTTGCTAGAGATGCAGAAACTCATTTTGAAATTGATGAATTTCTCTCAGTTACTCTCCTTTTTATGTGATATAAATCTTAGCTAGCCCTCGCAATGCTCTGTACAGTGAGCAGCAGACATGGTGGTGCTGGTGGGCGTCTTAAAATAGATCTTCCATTTAGCAATGCTTTATCGATGGCTTTATCAAGCTGACAGATGATGATGATTTTCCCCAAGAGTTGGCTTCTTATTCTGAAACATACTACATTGGAAGAGAGAAAGAGGGCCAACGGCTTCTTCTTTGAGGGTACACAGTTGATCTCATATTTCCCACAGAATGAAGACAAGTGCTTAGTTAGGTACAATCCAGAAAAGAAAGAAAATCAGCTCTTTGTGCTGTGTTGCCATGAATCTACGTACACACGTTTCAAATATATTCAAATACTTTGTATTTCACAATTTTTTAATTTCATTATTCATTTTTTCGTGTTTTCTTATGTCCTTTTTAATTTATGTCCATCTTGTATTTTTTATGATTTTATCTTTTATGGAAAAATTGCATTATGGCCAATTAATTAAGCAGCAAAAATGTTTGTGGCAAAAATGCTTAAGCAAAGACATCTGCAGCAAACACACTAGCAGCAAAAGTCCCTATAACTAATTTGTTCCTGTGATGCTAGGAGTGGCTCACTGCCCCTGGGTCATTCTGTTTCTTCCCTCAAAGTCCATATGAGTAATACTATTAATCCTGGCCTCATCTAAATCCTAAAGTGATGCAGAGAAATGACATCTGGCTTCATCTGAATTTAGAGTAAACCGTGGAGCCCTTTCTTGAAAGTTTTCAAAACTTGACTAAAGAAATAAGACAAAGAATATTCACTCTTTTTTCTAGAGAGATACTTCAGTACTCCTTGAACACTGCTACTCCTACTTCCTGCCGTAAGATTAGATGCTCAAAGACATTGGCCTAGGCCCACCACAGCAGGGATATTGTATATCTCGTTTGCTTTGCCCCACATCCCATAGACCGGAGTGGTTTAGGACCTTCTAGAACTTTGCTACTCAAAGTGCAATCCACACATCAGCAGCATCTTGTAGATGGGGAGGGGGCTTGTTAGAGATGCAGAAACTCAGACGTCACCCCCAGTGATCTACTGAATCAGAATCTGCATTTCAACAAGACCCCAGGGTGATTCATAAGCAGAGTCAAATTTGAGAAGGAGGCTCTATAATAAAAATAGATGTCTTAATCGGTTTGGGCTGCTACAACAGGATACCATAGCCTGGGTGGCTTAAAGAGCAAACATTTATTTCTCACAGTTCTTCGAGTTAGGAAGTCCGAGATAAAGACACCAGCAGATCCACTGTCTGGTGAGAGTCCGCTTCCCGGTCTGCAGATGGCCATCTTCCGGTTGTATCCTTACATGGCAGAGAGCAGAGGGAGCCAGCAAGCTCTGGTGTCTCTTCTCTAAGGGCACAAATCCCATTCACTAGGGCTCCACCCTCGTAATCTGATTACCTCCCAAAGGCCTCATGTCCTTATACCATCACGCTGGGGGTAGGATTTCAATATATGAATTTGGGGGACACCAGCCTTCAGTCCCTAACAATAGACAAGTAAATTTCATATCTTTTTGGTCAGGCTTCAGTGAGATCAATGCAAATATGTGACAGTCCATAAGGACATATAAGAACTGACTTCACGGGAAGGTGAAGTAGGAAGCAGACTACATGGTGTGATTCCACGTTCTCCAAAAGGAATTGAGCAACGGCTCTTCTGTTGGGACAAACCTAAGTCAGTGACTCTCACCTATATTTGCCATTTCACAAACCTACTATGGCATTAGAGCAGAAAACAACCAAATGTACTATTCTGAAACCTACTACACCCTCTTTGCAGAAATCTTTCCATGTGCCTGGCTCTGTGTTATGTGTTTTACGTGCATTATCTCACTTAATCTCATTCAAATAATTCTTCTGTGGTGCTCCAGTTTCATATCTCTACTTCTCAGGACATGCAGCTACCAAAAAATATATATAATCCAGAATCAATCTGAATGCAGACGGATTAGTAGGAAAGCAAGAAAATGTCCTCCTACCAGGTTCCCTATTGGCAGTCCCTGTCAGTAGAGATGTTACGAATTTCTGGTAAGTGACTCAGAGGGGCCTGGGGTTGTGGAAAGAGCCGATGCCAGCAGATCAGTATACATGGCCTCCCACATCAATGGAATGTGGTAAAGAGAATGTCAATCACAGAGCCAGACAACGCAGGATCAAAGGAGTACACCAGGATGGGGATGGACATTCTGTGGGAATGGCATCAGAGGCCTTCTGGGAGCCGGCAGAAAGCTGGATTGGAAGTTTCCAGAGCACCATGTAGAAGCAAAGCCGGGCAGTCTTCACTTTGGCCCCAGCTCCCTGTTTGTAATGGCTTCCACCCTGCCTTTTGCCATAACCTGAAAGGTGACCATGTACAAAGGCCACCAACTGATAAAAAGCGAACTCTGGTACGACGCTATCTGCTCTGGCACTCACCCTGTGTAACTCGGTTTTAACCCACATCAACCTTAGTTGCATGTCTGAGTTTTGAACTACAATCTATGCCAAACAACATCAAAGGGCTCAAATACATACAGGAGTACACGCACTTTAAAATATACAGTTAATTATATTTATGTAATTAAAACTCTCCTCACTTCCAGGGGGTCTAGAGAACGTTAATGCTCAGACGCCGTGATAAGTGTTAGCGACAGCTGGGCTGCCTGGCTTATCACTTCTATAAATATCATTTTCTGTTAATGTTGCTTCTCTGGGCACAAATACCATTTTTTAAAGAACCGAGGGTCAAGATTTTGAGAAAAAAGTTTGTATTTTTGTGTATCCTTATGGTTTTAGGTATTCATAGTTAATAAGAAAAGCGTTTTTAATTCTAGCAGCTATCCTTTCAAAAAGAAAACATTGAAGGCTTTTTTCCGATCTTCCCTAGGCTTGGTCTGTATTTGCTGTGCATGAAAAGTCAAGAAGAGTTTTCCTTACTGTTAACGTCCTATGAACCACGTAAGTAAG